GAGCGAAACCAACTTTTGGAAGCCTTGAAGTCACAAGGATGCGTTATTTGTGCCTGCTGAATTGCCTTCTTACAAATGAGGCTCTCCCTCACGGGGAGCCGGGCGTGCTTTCCCTCATAGCATTTAACCAAGCCAAGGTTGCCCCATTCAATGTCTTGAAATTTTTGCTGGTTTCCAGGTGGTATCTTTCCTGAGATGCTCCAGCGTTCAAAAATTATCCGCTAATGGTTCGATAGGATGTAACACCGTAGACACAGTGTCATCTCCGCGTCACACTAGATGAGACGCCATTGGCTGAATGCGACATTGCAGGTTGGTTGGTAAATGGCCCTCCCGAACATTGATCAATGATCAAGTGGGTAGGTATCGGGAACTGCGAGATATTGAAGGGGGGGCGACGGTGCATATTCAGAAACTGTTACTACGCATACCGTTGTTTTGGGTTTTCGAAAATATGGGAAGATATCGGAAAATGCGACTTCTTGGGGGCCCACTTAGCACGAGATTGTCTGCATATGATCCACAAGTCATAAACTTGAGAGGTTGCATTCCTTGACGCTTCTCTTTCACTACGTGAGAAGTCTCTCTATGCACGAGCAACGTTACCGGAAGAAGATCCATTGGGAATCCAGCATCGAGAAAATCCTTTGCAGTTACAACACTGCTGACCCCTACCACAATGAACCCACTGAGAATTCCGGGATATATGGAGCAGATTTCGCGCTGAGCAAACAGTAAAATAACACTCTGAGTGCACGGAAACCCATTTGTCCCGGAATTGCCATCGCACCTTTCAAAGGACAGTTTCTTTCAACATCTCAGCCATTTTGGTCTATGTACAAACACGTTCAAGCAGAAGTCTGTCAAACCCAATTTTTTTAACCAGGAAAGGAATACAGCCAAGATAATCCTCCAAAAGAAATACCCTGCTCATTGTTAGTAATTGAAACGCACAACTCGGACCATTAGTCAGCCACTTACAACACGTTCTATGAAAATTCGGCCTTGGCTGCAGACGAGCCCATAGGGAATGTGTAATTCCGTTTGCCGACTTCAACAAAATAGCTGTCTCCAGCAGAATATTCCAACACCACGGGAGGCATCTCCGAACATGGTACTCGAACGATCGTGGAGCAGATCGACTGCATTCTAACATGAGCCCACTGGGCATAATACGTCGAGGACTGTCGACCCTATTGTGGTGCTAAGACTGGCAACGTCAGCAGACTAGTGCGCGATCGCATCAGGCTCTAGTTAACAATGCAAGAAAGTGTGGTTGGTACATCTCTTTTCGACAGGTTCAGAATCCGGAATTTTAGAAAACTGCTAGTGGTTCACCAAACCGGTAGGCTTTTTCATCTCTCACTTTAGGTGGAAAATACCTCCGCCAAGTGAAGGTTGTGAGTAAAGGTTACTTGAGACGCGCGATTGTATAGGAGTTTTCGTGAGGTGCAAGGTAGGGGTGATCAGTCATAACCCAAAACACTCAGATCAGACCACAACTGAGCTGTTTTAATTCCGCAGGAAAATCGATAACCAACGTAGTACTTACCTTAACATAGCAACATCGACCGTCACCTTTGGGCTGACCCGATTCGTCCAAGTAAAGTTTTGCGCGTGGTTTGTTGGTGAACGGTTCATTCATAATGACTCCGTATTTTGACATCAAATCTTGAAACTCTTTTTGTGTTATTGTTGGCGGAAAACCAGAGACATATACGTGGGTGTTCTTGCTTTCATCAATCTGTTTTCGAGCAGAAATTTGAAAAAAACAAGATTGGATGATACATTAGCATCTGGGGTAAACAGGAGTACGGTTAGGGGCGAGGGGAGAACAGAAGTACGAGATATGTTATGTGGAGGTTCAAAAAATTATGAATGGAATTAGAGTACGTCATCATCATAATCATCATCGTACAGCAAAATACAGTTACGCGAACGTCACGGATTGCTGCCAAACTCGAAATGTGTACAAGGTTAGTGGTACTATTTAAGGTGGACAGGGATTGAACCTAGTTTGAGAGAGGAGAAGGCGAACTTCTATGGTCGACAAAGATTACACAATAGAATTATGCATACGTACCGTTTCAAGCATTCTAGTCTGATATGAGATGACAACAAGAACGCCACTGTGATCGGTTCGCTGCCATTTCCTTCAGTGTCTCCAACTGACCAATTGCGGAGCGTTTCAGAACCTTACCAAGAAGGGGCGAGACTGTAACGCCAGGCACGTTGAGCACGTCGCCGTCATTTTGGATTGAATGTGAGCCGTGTGCATATCTCACTGGATCTTTTGGTTAATGGTTGTTTTGTATTTTCCCCATTTCCAGGTCGTTCGGAAATCCCGCTTCCATGGAGAACCTGTTGTCCAAAGTGTCTCCTACCTGTACACTAAGAGCGTTCGTACTGGGCCGCGTTTACCAGCTGGTTCGACACCTTAAAGAGGGTTTTGTTTGCGGCATTCACACGGCGCTATCGGCGCCACAAACTCGGATCGTGTTGCCCGAAATCAACCTCCTGCCGTGTATTAGGAATCGGCGGCCCAATTTCTGCATGTTAAAGAGACGACCACTCCATATAGCTAATGGCTCTGTGCATTTCTTCATGCCTCACCTCCACGTGGCTTTCTCCAGCCCGGAGCGGCTACATTGAATAAAGCGCAGCGCGGCAGACGACAACTGGGCCTACGCATTAC